TTACATAATATTTATGTGCATTTTACTTACTAAAAAAAAAATGAAAGATTTACATTTATTATACTGAAAAACGCTATTATGAAATAGATTAAAATTTTTAATGCAAACAGTGTAATCATTTCTCAAATAGTATTTCATCATACTGGAGCTTAAAATTAGTACTTCGTACTATTAAAGTGAATTGCAAATGGTCATTTGTAAATAAAAGTGAATTGCAAATGGTCATTTGTAAATAATGATCTGACTTCTGATTTTGCATATTTCATTTTTGAAAATTAATTTTGTACTGGTAAATATTCCTAAATATCCATTCCTATGCATATGATTTTAATTGAACGTATTTATCTTCCAAAAATATTTATAGAATTGAGTTATATCCTTTACTTTAAATGCCATTTTTAACATATCATTTTGCAAATCGATCATTTCTAGTTGAAGGTCTGTTGGAAGCTTCTCAGTTGTACTTTCATTTGGGTTTTGAAACTTGGAAATATCTTTTGCATATGCATCAAGATCATAAAATGCTGTTGTGACTGTATTGCAAGTTCAGAAATTATAAGCTATGTGAATGTTTTTGAGAATTGGGATTTCACAAAATTTTTTTACTGCACGGAAAATGGGCAAATTTGTTTAATGTTATTTGCATTTCAAACAATGCAAATTTTTGGCAATAATACTTTATGATAGGATACATTTCACATATGAGTAGTGTTTTCCCCTGTAACTTTAAATTGAATTCGTTGAGATATCTTGCGATGCCTGTCACAAATGCTAATTTTCATAGCCACTTGCTGTTCGATAATAAAGGTTGTGGGCAATTTTTATCATTAAAAATATATCTATTACTTCCTTCAGTTAGAAGAATCTCAGCAAAACATTCCTGTTCCTGAGCCATAAAACAGCTTTATGATAAGGCAAGTCAGGATATTCAGCTTAATCTGTAATAAAAAATCATGAAACTGGCGGTGGTTAAGTTCATGAGATAGAGTGAAGTTTACTATTGATATATCTAGTTCAATAACATATGACAAATTAAGGTGTTTGCTCACAAAAGCTTGCTGGGGAGTAACACAATTAATAGAGGTTTTAAATATTTAGCATCTTCATAAGCCTTAAAAATTTGTCCAGCTAATCCTTTCCTCATTCCACACATATTTTTACCACCATCAGCTGTGACACATTTTAACTGATTCCATTGAAAACTGTATAGTGTTAGCACTTTCTTGACTTCCTTAAAGATATCTTCACCTATAGTTGTTCCATGCAGACTATTCATAGAAGCTAATTCTTCAATCAACTCAAATTCAGCATTGACCCCTCAAATAAGCACCAACAGTTGTGTAGTATCAGTAGTATCTTTCAACTAATTAACAGCCAATGAAAATCATTTGAAATATTTTGCCTTGTCTTTCAATCGACTCTTGATGTGGCTCCCAATGTCCTCAAGTCTTTTAACAGCTGTTTTCGCTGAAAGACCGACAAATCAGAACATATATCCTTTCTCTGGGCTCATTTCTACGGCTGCCGCATGCAAGCAATATTTAATTAATTCACCATTGGTAAATGTTTTTCCTTTCGTCACTAATAAATTAGGTGTTCGTAAACTGACTTTTAGTTCCTGCTTCATTATCTTTCTTTAAAGAAATAAACTGCTTTGCTATGATGCATTCTGTTTTAAACTTAATTTTAATTATTATTCATTTTCTGTGAGGTTTGAATACTTTGTCACATGCTTAATTTCATAATGACGACATAAATTGTACTAATAATGACATAATTGCAAGATGTTTTAAAAATAATTTATTTTAAAATGTCATTGGTAAATATGTGTAAAAAGTAGCTGCATTTAGCATACTTTCATAAGGTTCTTTTATTAAAAGGAGGAGGTTCAAAATCATAATTTATGATCAAGGAATGTTTTATTTATTTAATTTTTAATTGGTTAAATTTTATTCTCTCTGATTTTTAAGATAAATTTTATTTACTAATTCATCATTATAAAATTTTTTTGGATGTATTGTAGTCATCTGATTCAGTAGGTCTATATATTCAATTAAGATTGTTTAAAACTTAACATCTTACTGCTTTATTTATTTCACATCTGATGTATGCCTCCTGTTCGAATTAATTAAAAAACTTTTTGTTGGATGTGTATTTTGTAATATGAAAGAAACCAACAGAATTTTTAAAGGAATTGGAATACATTGTTGTAAAGTTTTGAACATTTAGTACCTTTAATGTCTTTTACTGACTTACACTGCAATGGGAAAAAATACTCCACTCAAGCAATAAAGTCCAAATCAAAAGATAGATTTTGTAACATAGTTAATAAACTACACTTCGATTTTATAACACAGAATGTTTATACTGTATTAGTGTGTACACATTCATTTTGTTCAAGCATATAAATTTCTCAACCTTCTCAAAACAAAATTATTCTCACATTAATTAAGATTCAGCATGAATTTTATACTCATATTTTTCTTAACATCAGTATGTTTCACTCAGCTGAAAATGCAACCACCAACTACCACTATAAGAATTCGAAAAGGAAGTTGAGTGAAGTTGCCAAAACAATTTCAATAAACTAGTCACTGAACCATTGAATTTAAATAATCTCTTTCATCCTCCATGTTCTTTACTTACTCAGAACTAAGAAAGCATGGCTGGACATGCTCCCACCTAAGTTGACATTTGACTTTAAAAGCTTAACTTACATGATGAAGCTAAAATGCTGATAATACTTGCATCGAGTGCGAATCATAACACTTTATATAGGTACCATAACTTGAAAAAATATTTACAAAATATATAAAAATGGGCATAAATACAAAAAATTTAAAAATGGGCATCTATAAAAAGTCACAAATTCAGTTTTTTGGGTATCTTAATTCCTCATGTCATTCTGGTAAAAACTGGTATGGGACATCCAGTTTCAGAGTTAGGTGTTGTAGGCTCATCTCCCACCGAAACGAGAGCTCTTTTGAGATGATGATAATATTAGAAATAAATATTTCTAGTGGGTACAAATTAGTCTTAAGTATCTAACTATTATGTAGTTTGAAGTCTTAAGACCTTTATTATTTTCTTAAGTGACCAATTCATCCTTTTAGTGCTGTCATTTTTATATAAAGCAGTATCCTCAGATATATGATTGAGATATTTGAGGTGATATTTTTTAGTCTCTGATTTTTAAATGAGATATTTCTAGATATTCATTTTGAAATCTTTTCCTGCAGTTGTCTTGCAAACGTTGTCTATATCTCGCCATTCTGATTGTTTAAGCTCTTATGATGTGCTTGCATCACAATCTAGAATTCCATATGTTTATATTTTTTATAAAATCATTGCAGGACTCAAAAAGAACAAGTTTATTGTTCTCAGTAACATAAGTCAACGGATGAGAATTGATAATTTATTCACAGTCACAGAGCACTGTTGTCATTTCTTCATAAGTTAAGGAAGCATGACCTAATCTATCAATCTCTCCCACCATGAGGCAGTAAGTGTGTTGAATTTTCACTTTATTTGGCAAATAAATGTATCAGCAGTGATATGATACCAATCTAAACTTTGAAACTAGTTTGAAGCTCCAACAAAATTTTTGCCATTATCACAATAGATAATTTTGCATCTCCCTCTTTGAGCTATGAATCTACATAGAGCTAATAAGGATTTTGTTTAGAGTGAAGTTCCGAACTCAAGGTGTTAAAATCAATCAACGATGCAATTAAATGCACAGATCTATAATTTCTGATTTTATTTCAAGTGTATTGAGCCAGCAAGGCTTATTTCACAATTAAGAAACAGAAGCTTCACATAACTATGTTCTCTGGCAAAAGTGCAGTGACAGTGTCCAATTTCTTACAGTACGTTTTACATATCACACACTTCAAAGCAATGGATCATATTGTTCTTCTACCATCAGGAATCCAAAATATCTGTCTTAGTATGTTTAGCAGAATCTGAGTTTTCACGTGGTGATAAAATATTAATCTTTTAATGATCTCATGATGTGATTAAAGAATTGCTGGCACTTTGGAATGTTCACCATCTTATTGATTTGCAAAATTGGTCTTTAGCCAGCTGTAAGTATCAAGCTTGAATAATGGGATCATCTATTCACTGACATAGGCATGTAGAAGCTGTAGCTTCTTTCTGCTGATTTACATCTATCTGGTTCCATTCTGCCATCTCAGAGATTGATAAAGAGTATTTGCACATCAGTGGTGAAAAATAATGAACTTGGAATGAAGAAAAGCAAACTTGCCATTGACTGAGGTGAAACAAAACTAGCTGCATGAAGTGTGATATGTATTTGATGGGATTCATGTGCTGTAATCCCATGTTCTGCATGACATCAGAATTACCATTGAATTGCACTGTCAATAATAATATTTCGTTTATGAACTCATTTATATGTGCTTATAGCATACTATACTGATTCTTACTTTAGAATACTGGATGGCATTTAATTTCATGTCCACTATAGAAGCAACTCAAGTGTGGCTAAGAAGTTTTTGGCCTTATCCTTTTGTATGGCCTTCGTTTTGCATTAAGAGACTATTTTCTGGTTGCTGATTGATGTCTTTAAGACAGAAGCCTCCAGCAATGAAGTCCAGCTACATTAATGACTTCATATTTAAATCTGTTTGTATTTTCCGAGAAAAGATCCAAAATTTGCACGAGAGTTAACAGTAAGTCATAATTGTAGATGGTTCCTGCATTTTCAATCATCAGTTTGTAGTTTTATACAAAATAAATGTTCTTTTTTGTTGTTATATTGCATGAAAGCTCCTTTACCCCCTCCTGATAATACATATTAAAAAATGCACCAGGACATTGTATATGTGAGGCCATTTTATATTTGGGCCAGTATTGCATAATTCTAGAATTTTGTTCTCTGATAGCAATATTATTTAATTTTTAGGTTTAATGTGATTCCATATACCTAGGAATGTATAAAATTATGTAATTCCTGACCATCTTTTATTTTTTAGAAAATTTTTCTCTCTTCACCTGAGATATCACATTCAGATGGTGAGCCTTTTGTTCTTTGCATTGCATGTTATCACAGAGCAGTCTCACCTGTTTTTCTGCCTTGTCGTCATGCTTGTGTCTGCAGTGTTTGCTCTGAATTTTGCAAAACCTGTCCAGTGTGTCGGGGACCAGCCTACTTTTATTTTGAACTACTTGATGCTTCTAGAAGTAATTAATTCTAATTGTGATATATTCATTGACTTGAATTTACAAAGGTGTTTCATTTCATAAACAATTTTTGTGTAATTTGTTTTTCATAAATTGTAAAATATTCAGTTGCTTCATATTGGAGCAAGTGTTGTTAAACCAAGATGGTGCTTTTAAATATTTATATAGCATGTATTTGTTGTTTGAATAAATGTATTTAACAAAAACATTCAAATCAGACTGTTTACTATTTAAAAATAAGCTATTTTTAAGCGTTTGTACTTTTGAAGCAGGACTTCTTATACTAGAGATCATATCCATTCCCCAGCGTCATGTATCTCTGCATAAACATGAAAATTGTATTTAATCTTTTATAATTTCTATCTTTGTTCCACTGGAGGTGATTGCAAAAGATTGCATTTAATCAAAAGGAGATACTAATTGAGGCAATTTGAGAATACATCCTATAATATTTTTGCTGAACTGTACTATCAACATTTAAGTGTGGGAAATTTTTTGTCTTTTTAACTATTTAAAGAATTACTTCTTAAGAATTCCATCATAATTTCTAAAATGTGGTGTATTAGTTCAGTAGTTTTGAGAAAGTCCATGGTTTGCTGTAAAGAAGTAATAAATTAATACGCCATGCAGATAGTTAAATGTTATTGCTCCAATGTGCTCCATTTTAATTCTACATTAAGGAAGTTTCAAAGTAGTACTTGCCATATGTATTTAAGAGTAGGCTTAAAAAGTAACATACCAATGACAAACCTTGATCTGTTTAGCTGTTAATATTAAGAGAAAATTCATGATTGGCTAACTTTTTTAAGCTGAATGCACCAAATTCTTTAAAGAAATTAATTTTCTTAAGCCAGTGCAGGAAGGGCAAGCATAGTAATTATGCATTTTTTTCATGAGTTGTCACACTGTCTTAAAAATGCATTCAGTGATTATGTGTTCTTTTTTTCATAGCTGAAATAATTGTGATGATTTCATCTTTATTATTTTTCATTTTTTCTGCTAATTAATGAGTGCTAGATGCTTTATTTTCATAAATTTTTCCCTTAGTGATTTCTGCTGTTTAAATTTTTAATTGCCATTTAGTTTAATATTAACACTGGCTGAGCTATTGTCGACTGTAGAGTTCAAACCTTGGGATCTCATAATACACAAGTGTAATACTGATTGATATACCATCAACATCCTAGTTTTTTATCCTTGAAAATTAAGCAGGCTTTTTTTGAAAAAATTCTATACCTTGTTGAATGGACCAGTAGCTTTGTTTTGATTTTTTAAAAAAAAAGAAACTATAATCTTTGTCATCTCTGCATCACCAGTCATCTTCATACCATCCATTTGCAATAGTTAAAAACACATTAATATTTCCTATTCTGACTTTTCAACTACATTTGAAATAATCATTTATTTTACATTTGCACATTTTTTAAATTTTCAATAGCAAATATTTCCAGTTTTACATACATTATACCTCGAGGGAAATGTGCTGAAGTAAGCTCAAGCAAAACAAACGAAAGAGGTTTTCAATAAAAGTAGTTTACTCTGCTGCTCTTTGCCAGATAGAAGTGCTTCAGAAATAGTGGTGCATGGATCATTTTGCATTTCAATGCTGCTGTTTTATGAAGCAGCGGAGCCCGCCTGTGTCCAAAATTACCCTCCAGTGTTTTCTCCATTGAGTGTAACATAAAACTTTCTTGCACCTGTTTCTGCATTTGTTTGAATAGTTCCCCATATCTTCTGACCTTTCTTCCAAAATGCTGCTTTTTTAAGCATCTGGGTTTTCTATAAAACATTTACAGTATTAAGTTTCCAGTTGCATTTTGATTTCTTATTTTGCCCCTGAGATACTTTAAGTGTGCTTCAGATTATATACTTGCTTTGATTTTTAAGATTAACGATAGCTATTTAGTTGTTATTTTTGTTCAACTTTAGCATTAATTAATAAATAAGTAGAAACAATTTTTATTGTTCCAATACCAAAGAAATTTTGAATATAATTGAATTATATGAAATAAAATTATTAATATAAAATTTAAGTTATTTTATTTAGGGGATTCCATTCCAAACTCTATGTTTCCAGGAATTTTTAGAAATTTCTGTTTAGGTATGATGATATTGACATTTATTGGATGATAAGTATCTATATATAGTTGCACAGGTTTAATAGATTTAAATGCCTTAAACACAAAATCTTATTTTACCTAAAACAAGTTTTCTATATACAGAATAAGCTTCTAATCTGTAGATAGATTCTATATACAGATTAGGCAGATTAAAAGCAAAAATTTAAAAATCCGAAATGGACACTACGTGACTTCCTTGCATGGCGTATTTAATTATACACATTTTTTGCTGCTCTTCATTTAAACTCATTTCCTTGAATTATTCTAAATTAATTAACCAATTCCTCAAGGCAAGTTGAAAATAACATAAAAAATTGCAGATTTTGAAATTAAATATCCCACTCAATTTTTGTCATTCAGGAGTCAAACTTCATATAATTTAATTTTTTCATAATGAGTGTAAATTTTCCCCAAATACAAGTATAGGAACCAGGAAATTGCATTGAAAGTTAAATTTTTTTTGGGGGGGGAGGGGTCGAAAATTATTATTATTTTTTTTAAATTTGACATTACCAAAACATGAATATTTTCATCATTTAAAACTCTTCTGTATTTGGATCTGTAATAAAAGCAAACTTGGCAATTGAGGCATATTAAATATTCTTCTTTATTTCAGTTTACATTTGTGGCCACAATTCACTTGGCATTCTAATCGGGCTATTCATGAACATTTACATTTTTCATGCTATTATGATAGGAAGAAAAGCAGCACACCAGCATCTTAATGAGAACAGAGGTAGAAGCAGAAGTGCACAGTTATTCCAGTATGGCAGCTTATTAAGAGAAAGTTCTGAATTAGCTACATCATTAGTGTTATGCAAGTCATATGATATAGCCTGATCTAAAAATGATGTAATCCAGAAACAGGCATCACTATTTTTGGAATAGAAGGCAGAATTCAGGGGTTATTACTAATTTAAATTATAATTGTGATTTACATATTTTTTATCTTATATATCCCACCCTTCAAAGAGAAAAAGGCTTGAAGACAGAAAAGTTGTTTTAAGACACAAAGCATTTAAGCCTTTGCAAATGAAGAGAAATAATTTTAAAAACATAAATTATAAAATTTTGTCCAAAATAATAGTTTAAATAATTGAAAAATATAAATTGATAATATTTTAGAGTCCTATGATTAATGTTGAATCCAAAAGTCTTTGGGTTTTATATTCCATGTAATCATATCTTTTCAATGAAGGCTTTTTAAATCTTTGCACAAAATATAAGAATTATATACATTTTATCCACCCATTTCTTATTTTGAATAATCGCAACAAATTTCTGACTTTCATAACATGACTAATTTTCATTATAATAACTTATATTTTAACATAAATTTTCTATTAGTGAAATTATGGTTTTTACCATTATTATTACATTTTTAATTTTCTTATCTTGCACAAAACTGGAATAACCCACAGCTTTCTCCAAATACAAAAGTAACCATCTTAGGCAAATCCACTTAAACTGACTGGTGTATTAATTCATCAATGGTTAAGGGCTGCTCTGGCAGTTAATTAGCATCCATTCCTTACACAAGGTAACTGGCCTTTGTGAACTATTTCAGAGCATTCTATTTTACACAGAAATATTAAAACTGTATTACATTATGTAAAATAAAATAAAATAAAAAGAAAATAATTATGCATAAAAAATTATAAAGCTCAAAGTTTATATTGTAGGCAAATAGTAAAAGCAACAGTTATGCAGAGGCAATAATAGGCTTCTGTTTCTGAACCACCAGTACTCCCTCAACATACTTTATACTTTACATTCAGTTATTCATTACATAATTATAACATTTAACCACCATTACCAAATTACTTTTTTGTTACCCATTTTACTTTTTAATTATATTAATTTTCATCACAATTATTCAATTTTTAAATGTTTTTAATATTAATTTCGATAATCCTGAAAGTTATATTTTTTGCATTTTTTAATTATTACTGAAAACGCGTTTCCTTATCATTTTGTATGCTTATATTCAAAATTATTTCATTTGCATTCTATATTTACTTCAGTCTTGAAATAATTATGAAATTCTTAACATTAATTCAAACATTTTTAAAATAATTCAAAAACAATGATTAAGCACATTAAAATTAATCTTTCCTGGAAAAAATGTTCAAAGTCTTTAATTAATTCAAAAATAGTTATTTAAATTTATGTTTCTAATACCATAAAATTTTCATAAAAGCGCTACATATTTTAAATTCAATAGGATGAAAAACAATCAATTTGCAATTCAATTACAAGAAAATATATTTGCTCTAGTGAGACGAAAAAGTTACTTCATATGAAACACAAAGCATAACACTATTACCAAGGTACTTTAAATACACTACAATACATAGTACAACTTTAAATGTACTTACACATTTTATAACTGCAAAATCAATTGAAGAAAAGAAAATCTTTTTACATTTTACTAATTTTTAAGCAATGTAATGAAAATGATTTTACAATAGTGGTGCCATAAAATGTTGATCCTGATGGCATAGAATGTTGAATCTGTAATGAACAAGAAACTTAATAGTCAAAGCATATTAAATGTTCATCTGTAAATCTTTTATTTGTTTACAATTATATTTAAAATTTTGTGTTAGCTTTATATGAATTAGAGAGTGATATTGTTTTTGTTATATATATTATATGTATGTATATCAGCAGCATATGCCTCAGACAGTGGGGCACACAACAGATCCTTCATGAAAATTTATATTGAATTTGTCTTGTTTCCTATAGTATCAGACATATGCTGCTCATTATAAGCATATCGCTCTTTTTACAGCACTTTAAGACACTCAAAATTTGATGCTAAATTTTAGTTTATTTATATATAAAAACAAAAATAAGATTAAAGTATTATAAAAAGAGTGATATTGTAAAAGTTTTTTAAATCCTAAAAATCAAAACATATCTAGTGATACTAAAAAATACGAAAAAGATTAAAATAGTTAAAAAACAGCGTAATTTTAAATGCACCTTAAAAATTAAAAAAATATCATTTAACACTAAAGAAAGATTAAAGTTAACAATTTTTAAAATACTAAAAAAATACTATATATCGTGTGTTAATGAAAATTTCAAA